TCATGTAGACTGTGGTATTGGATTGGGAGCAGAAGATGACTCGACTATATAAGAGGTAAATTGCTTAGAGTGTTTTTATGTACTTCATTGGGAGAATATTTAAGGGATTGTAAAAGAGTAATATTATTTTACGTGGTATTCGAGATGCTATGTGAAATAGAATCGTATGTAAATGTAGAGATAAGGCTGACGCGATTAATGAGTGGTTATGTACGGACTTGAGTGTTGTGGGTTGAGTTTATATGATTCTTTTATAAGTCGTAGTAATTGGTTGCATCCTTTTTTTAATAATTTTTACTTGAGGGGAGGAGGAAAGAGAATTTTATTAATAAAGTGTATTGAACAGTTGAATTCACAAAACTTTAAGGGAGAATAGAAGTATAAATATATTTTTGGAATTCAAATTATCAAAGGAGACACGTTTTAATTTTTATATTTGTATACTAGTTTTATCATATAATTAAATATGTTAATTTTTATTCAAGGTTATTAAGGCTTAAATATACAAAAGGTGCACAATCTATGCCCGTTTTTTTAATTTTGTGCCTAACGTTTATTTTGTTATAGTTTGATGCCTAATGTTTCATTCTGTTACTCAAAATGGGCCAAACAGTGACATTCCGTTAGTTTTATCTAAGTGACACGTGTCACAATCCGATAAATTTAAAATATATAAAATTAAAAAAAAATTATATAGTTTTTAAGAAAGAAATTACATAAATTTCAAAATAACCCAAAACTTTGAAAATCTTCATTTTAACCCCTAAACTCACACCGATCGTCGCCTTTTGCTATCAACAAAGCTCTACTTGACCTCACCTCCCCCTGGCAACCAAAACCCCTATGAAATCGTGACTGATCAACGGTCGATCGATGATGAATCGACGTTTTATACCCCGCGAACCTTATGATGAAAATTGCATCTCAAACGATTTCGGCGGCCAATCGACGACAACTACATTGACTTATAGCTAGGATGATGACGATGACTACGTCAACGACGGTGGTCGTGGCCGGAAAAGACGGCGGTGACTGGTTAGTGTTAGGATTTGGGAATTTTGAGGCTTTTTTGTAATTTAAAAGAAATAATGATTTTTATATAAATATAATAATATATTTAATATTTAAAAAATAAAATTCAAAATTACGAGATTGTGACTTGTGTCGTTTAACGGATAAAACTAACGGTCTGTCACGGTTTGACCTATTTTGAGTAACAGAATGATACGTTAGGCATCAAACTAAAACGAAATAAACGTTAGACACTAAACTAAAAAAACAAACATATATTTTACACCTTTTATATATTTAAGCCGATTATTAATGACCATTTAAAAAGCTGTGTACCAATAAATATTACATGTAATAGTAAGATATATTGTACTTTCAATAAAGATTTAGATTTAGATCTTAAAATTAACATGCTTAAGAAAAGATAGTCACAAAGTTTGTTTATAAATAATAGAACGAACATAGATCATAATCCAATTATATCTATGTAGCGTAAATAAATCAAATTTGCAATTTCGCGTGACTATTTTGAGAATTTGACCTATATGCGTGCCTCACCAAAAATAAGAAAGAACACGTTTTCTTTTTTAAGTTTGTAGTTTATGCAAGAGTGTCGGACCGCACTAAATTATACTTCAATTGTTTAATACTGCGATCAATTTGCCCTATATGCCTACTTAACTAGCTTACTGTTTAAGATAAGGTTTTTCATTACGAATTAAATTATTTTAATGATTGTTGTTATCGTTAAAAAATCTAAATTCAAATATCAAAAACTTGTAAAATATTTAAAATTTTATTGTTAAATGATTAAAATTATTTAAAATAAATATTATATCGTAATGATCATAAATTAATAAAAAAAACTAAGGCTTTTCCCTTACTTCAAGTTTCCACACTAATAAAATATATTTTATTTTAGGGTTAAGTATACAAATGGTCCTCCATCTATATGATATTATTTTGTTAAGTCCCTTAATTATTAAAAGTTATAAAGTGGTTCTCTGACTACAATGTGTTATTTTGTTGAGTCCATTAACTATTAAAAGTTACAAAATGGTCACTTGATTATTAAAATATTTCAAACTTGCCCTTTTCATTACAAAATTATCGTCGTCTAATATGGGCGTCAACTTGTTGACTGAGATATGATAAAATTATATTTTAATGATGTATATTGGTACCGTCATTGCTTTCAAACATTGACTCGACGACATAATGTTTTAAGCACTAGTTCAACGACATCACATAAACGGAGATTCGATCCATAATATACAACTAAAACAGTTTTGGGATCATATTTTATCATATCTCAATTAACATGTTAACGCCCAACTCAGACGATCACCAATATTTTAACGAAAAATGATGAATTTGAAACATATGAACAGTCGAGTGACCATTTTATAACTTTTAATAGTCAAGAGACTCAACAAAGATGCGCTCTATAGTCGAATGATCATTTGATAACTTTTGATAGTCATGAGGCTCAACAAAATAATACCCTATAGTAGGGGGACCATTTGTGTAGTTTACCCTTTGTAATGTTGATAATTTAATCAGAGCTGCATAATCTTCGTTTTCGTCTGGTTAAGGAAACAAGCTAGGAACCCACATATTCTAATGCTTGAAGTAAGGTTAATGTAACTTTTAATCCCTAATGTTTAGGTTAATATATAATTAATGATACTTGTAGTATGTCCCCGCAATATAATTCACCTCTATCCCTTAACTCTGTTAAGAATTCCAGCTGGGTTGTTCAACGAAGTTAGGGATTAGGGAGGATTGTATCTAGAAATATACTACAAGTACCAAATTATACATTTTTATACACCTGCCCCAATTGTATGTTTAGTTAACTTTGGGGACCAAACATGATATTAACAATTTAAATTTATTAATTTTATTATACTTAGGGGTGGTTATTTTACTCAAACTTGAAGGTTCATATTTAATTTTACATAATAGAGTTTTTTTAAAATTTGAGTTCATTTTGAATCGATTTTTTGAAGAATTAAGTCGGAATGGATTTAAGATAAAAAATATTTGACCTGATTCGGATAATAATATAACTATCCTCTATACTTTTAAGGATAATTACTATAATGACTCTCTCTCTATATTTTTTATTTTAATTAACTCTTTATTTTATTAAATAATTTTTTTATATTTATATTGAGATAACTTGAGGACAAATTTTAAATTTAGAAATTAAATCATATTTATTCTTTAAATATAAATCATATCAAATTCAAAATAAAGAAAATATAATTTTCAGATCATATTGGTCAAAGGCCTGATCCAAATTAACTTGTATCCATGGTATGCTGATAAGGCAAGGACGTGATGTGTATCTGTATTACTATTAAAATAATCACAAGCCTACGAACAATAAATATTACAGATGTAAACAATGAATAATAAAAATAATAATAATAATAAATAAATATATTGTTTATTTGAGCACGTTTCTCATGTTTTGCAAAATGAATGGTACGCAAAACAAAAGTCCAAAAGGTCTTATTCGTGGTGGGCCAGATACAGTTTAGAAAATAGAAAAAGTACCTAAAAAGCTTCCATCTCTCTGATTATTTAATTTTACTCACGTGTTATATTCTACTTTTTTTAGTTTTTTTTACCAACATGTTATATTTTTTAATAGATACTTTCATATTTTTGTATTAATTATATCATTGATACATTTATAAATTAAAAAAAATGATACTACACATTAAACATATAAAAATACTCTTTTTAAAATGTATTTTATAATTTTGATAATTAAGTATAACAATAAAAATGTAAGCGATCGAATCAACTCTCGTGCCACCAAATACAAGTATGTTACCATTGAATAATTAGTGATAATTAAAATAATGTCTAATTATGAATTTCATTAATATTTATATAAAATTGATAATTTGGTTTATCTATTTCAATAGATAGAAATTTCGTTTTTATGTTTTATGAAGAGATGAAAGGTATTTAAATTGAGGTGAAATGCAATATCATATATTACAAGATAATTTTTTTTCGTTTCTCTTTATTAACTAAATAAGTAAAATGAGTGGATATTTGGTGAATTTTATGTAAAATATAAGTTTATTCTTGAGAATAGTTTGAAGATGTAAATTATTATATTCATTAAGGTTGATATCAAACAAGAGAAAGGATTGTCGCCGATTGCATTTCACATTTCAATGTAGTAGAGACATACGTTTTCCCTTTGGTTGGTGAAGGTGAACACTAATACATGATGACAAATAAGCAACATTTTATGACGATGTCAAATCTAATTTTTTTTTAAAAATAAACTAAAATAACGGCCAAATGACTGAAAACTATAAAAAAAACAAAAAAAAACGTACTATAAAAACAGAGTAAAACATGTCGTGAAGACATAATTATTAAAAAATAAAGGAAAAATAAGAAAATAGATGAAAAAATTAATAGTGGCAGGGATCAACATTAAATTTGTGGATTTTTATTAAATTTTGTGGGGTTCGAGTAGGTGGGGTTTGATAAAATTTTGAGGTTAAATCGGGATCATTTTATGTTTTCATTAGGTTACATTAAACTAAATTAGATTAAAATTAAGATAAGATGGAGACTTTTAAGCTTCAATTAGGTTAAAAATTTGATTCACTTTATTTGGAATAAAAGAAATAAAAAAATAATGCAAATAAAATAATTTTAAATAATGATGATTTCTTTTAAAGGTAAAAGTATATAAATGATCATTGAAGTAATTTTTTTTCTTAAATTTCAAAAGTAACGCGGTAAACAGTAATAATTAATTCTCACGTTTAACATCAAGACATGTCCCTACATGGATCAATACATTATTTTTAAAATTATTTAATTTCCCTATATGCTCCAAAACAAATGTGCCTTTAAATATGCGTCACTCCTTCAATTCTCGAAATCTCTCAAATTCACTTCAATTTCCTCATCCACCTTCTTCTTCTTCTTCTTCTTCTTCCTCTTCCTTTTCTGTTCAAATCATTGAAATAAACAGCAGTAACTATGAAGCTGGAACAAGAACACAGCACTACAGAGGAAGAAACAAGCAATGACACTGAAAACCCTAGCAAGATCAGCTCACCAGTTGTTGTTGGGCTGAGAATCCTTACAGATACTTCACTGGGAAAATCTAACGTCCTTGTTAAACCTGCATTCAAAATAAGCCTACCCGGTTCTCGAAACCATCGCCGTCGAAGCCGGTCACCGCCAGCCGATGAATCTTTCTTCCTCAAATCTTGTCAATTGTGCCACAAGAAACTAAGCCTGGAAAAAGAAGTTTATATGTACAGGTAAACAGAATAATTTCAATGATTTTCTTAGGACATACATATATACACAGAAGGATTAAGTGTGGATTTTGTATGCTAATTTTCTGATAGAAAATTTTCATAAACGCAGGGGTGACCAAGGCTTTTGCAGCATAGACTGTAGAGAAAGGCAAATCGTTTTGGATGAAATGAGGGAACTCGAACTGTCTGCTAAAACAATGCTTGAATCTCCTAGGCATTGTAGCACCGTCGCCGACACCACCGACCGACAAGAGATTCGTCGCCTCATAGAGGATCTCCGCCGGAGAAATAAACCACCTCATCAAAACCAAAACCACCGGGCAATTGCCTCATAATTATTGAAGCTCATATAAACTCTAAAGTGATACTACTAAATTTACTTTTTAGTTAAGTTCTAAAATCTTTTTTTGTATGAGAAAATTGAAAGATATGAATTGATCTTTGATAATGGTAGATGGGATGTTTTTGTAAATTAATGTATCTTTATTAGAGACTATAGTGGATAAATTCCAACTCATTTTCTTCTATGTTTCCTTTCTTATGTCCACAATTTCATTATCTATAATTTTGAAGTAAATTGATTCTAATTGAAAAATTGGATGATAATTTGAAGTAGGCTTGTAAATGAATCTGACATATTCAAGAGATTATTCGTGAATTGTTCAATAAGAAGTTCGTTTATATTTGTTTATTTATCAAACGAACGAGTATGTATAAGAGTTTATGTTTGCTTAATTAAATGAACAAATATAAATAAACGGCTTGTTCGTTTATTTACGTTTGTGAACGTTCGATAATCTGTTCATTTATGTTCGTTCGTTTATATTTAGCTCAATCTCTAAACCCTTTTAAAATATTAAGACCTAATAAATTTTAACCAACTCATTAATATTTTAAAGCACAATTAATTTTAAACTCAAATAAAAAAAATACCCAAATCAATTAAAGGAAATATAAACCCTAAAATTATTTAGAAAGAGTTTTTTCTCAAATACAAAACCAATTAATTTATGTCCATTTACAATAATTCACGAACTTTTCTCAAATGCAAACCCAACTACAATTTTATTAATTGTTATTATTACAATGCTTATAAATAAATAGAGGTAATTTGCGTCAAAATTTATCATAATAAAAAGAAAAAAAATTAGTGATAAAATTTTTTATTTTCACAACAAATAACAAATAATAGTGACCGCTTTATATGTCGTCATTATCGTATTATTTCTCATCAAAAATAATAATTAGTGTCAATTTAAATATTTTAATGGTATCAAAATTTTAATAACAATGAAACTTGTATCACTATTATATACCTATAGGGATAATTTAATTATGAAAAAATTTAATAGTCACAATTACTACTATAATAATAACGAAATAAAATTACCTTACAACTATTTTTAATATTAACGTTATTTACAATTGCTTCAAATATGTCACTAAAAACCTTTATCCTTTCAGCGTGCAGTGTTTACCTATAATGAGAGATGCACAAAGTCGGATTTAAATTCGATTTAGATCGGATAAAAATTGATCCGGTTTTTCCACCTAGCCAAAAAATCAGATTTTAAAAAAATTGATTTGGAGGACCGGATGGTGTAACCGGTTTCAGTTTGAAAAAAAAAACTGTTTAAAAAAGATCGGTTTTTAATCTGATAAAAAAAACTGGTCGTCAAATTTTTCTCCAAACCGTTTATATTAACGACTAGATTTTAAACCCCATATCGGATTTTTTTCCAATAAAAAACCGGTTTTTTATCCGGATTTTTTCAAACCAGTTTTTATCCGGCTTTTTTCAAACCAGTTTTTAATCCGGTCAAAAAACCGGTCGTCCAATTTTTTCTAAACCCGATTATACTATCCTGTTTTAAAATATCCGATCCGGTTTAAAAAACCGGTTTTTCCCGAATCAAATTTCGAATATTTTTTACGAAAAATCAAATATTCGAATTTTTTGTGCACCTCTACCCACAACCCTCTTAAAATCATAGGCATAGCAATGGTTTACCTCTCTCAAACCATTTGATCTTAATAACTCCTTAGTAATTTTACTCGTTTGCATGTCAATATCATCGACATTATCAGTGGTGTGCACTTAACTTTATAAAATCACATTTTAGAAATATTTCTTAACAATATTTTGTAAAATAATTTTTGAAAAATAATATCAAATTCACCATTAGTGTTTCTCCTCTTCTAGTTTCTTAATTTCGATCCGTTAATGATCCCGACTGCTTTTTAATATTTTGGCCTTCTTTATTGTATGTAATTTTCAACACTTATCTCTATTGAAAATAATATATTTTAATGAAATTATTTATGCCTGAACAACATTTTATGCACATCATCACACTGTCTAACCTTGTTGTATATTATCTCTATCTTTTTAATATTTATATCTGACATGTGACACATAATCATTTTAAATATATAAATAAAATTTAAAAATATTTACATTAAAATAATAATCACTAGAACAAGCGATTAAAAGCTCTCAGATGACATTTCTTATCTCCTTTAGGTTATGGGAAAAATCACTTTATGGATGAAACTAGTCAACAAACAGTCGATACTCCAAAATATTAAAACTTTTATCCTAAAAATAAACGTTAGAGGCCAAAGTACTGAAAAAAATGGCTAAAATAATTATTTAATCGAATGTTTAATGATCTTTTATCCTAAAATAAAATGTTGAGAGTTAAAATACTAAAAATAAATAATAAAATAATTATTTAATCAAATATTATGGTGTTTTTAACATTATACATTTGTTAAACTATACTTTTGAACATAACTTTAATTGTAGTCGAGAAAACAATAATGGAAAAATACTTGTTAAGTGACTTCAATAGTCAGAAAATATTATACTCTCTAAAGGTTTGAATTTAAACAATTGAATTTACAAAATATATGTGTTGTCAATTATGAAGAAATATTATAATCATATATTATTTTATAATTCACATGAGATTATTTAAAAAAAATAACAAAGAATGTACGTTTGTAATTTTGGAGGCATAGAAGAGATACGCCATGGTTGAGATTTCCATAATTGTAAAGAGGGCAAAATTTTTACCACCGAAAAGGTGATATGGGGGGGGGGGGGGGGGGCTTATAATTCAAAGGTCCAACCACGCCATTGATGGCTCTTTGATCATTTGACAACTGTCCTTCATGCCATGCTTTTGTCAAATTGGTCCCCAGCAAGCTGGCTACTTAAGATCAATCTTTATAAAAGTTTTAAGTATTTCAATTCAAATTTTAGAGGTAAGAGATTGTTTATTTAACATTTTGATTTTCAAATACCTAAGTTATTATTACACTAAAAATTATTATGAGGCAAAGTCCCCCAACTCATGCTTATTTTAAGTGTGTTTATTTTTATTTATCTTTTCACAAGTTTATATAAATATTAAATAGAATAATAAAACAAATATAATAAGGAAAAGGTTAAAATTTTATATAAAATTTATTATATTTAAAATTTATATAAAACTATAAAAAGATAAAAATATATAATAAATACATTTTATAAATAACACAATAATCTAGTCAATTAAGATCATACAAAAATGACAAACTAAATCGTAATGCGATCGATAATTCGCAGCTAGATCTCCGGTATCGCAAATCAATTTCCAGGTTCGCAACGCGAACTTCGACTATCGCATTGCGATTTACATATTCGCATTGCGATAGTCCAAGTTCGCGTTGCGATTTATTCCAAGTTCGTTGCGATAGTCGAAGTTCGCGTTGCGATTTATTCCAAATTCGTTGCGATAGTCGAAGTTCGCGTTGCGATTTATTCCAAGTTCGTTGCGATAGTCCAAAATCGCAACGACGGTATTACATTTGTTTCTTAAGAATTTTCTCTAAAAAGATAGTATTCGCACGGACGTGTCGAAGACACGTATTACCACGACCACGACCCGACCCGACCCGAGACGGACCCAATACTATGTGGAATTGAGCCTTAAATAATTATATTATTTTTGAATGTTTTGCTTAAAATTGCAATAATCGCGATTGATTGTAGATTGACATTTAATTATGACATATTTAATCGTATAATACTAATGCAATTGGTTGCTGATTCAGTTGTTTTAAGGTGCATGAATGTTAATTGTTTCCTAAATAATCACATTGTATTTGAAACAAGTGTTGGTAATGCTCAATCCCACATAGTATTGGAAACAATATTGGGAATGGTATTTAAGGTTTGGCTTTCTCACTTCCTTGTTGAGTGATAGAGAACAAGGGGGACTCTCGCGTGCCGCCGCCGCCGCCGTCTGTCTCGTCTCGGGTCGTGGTCGTGGTAATACGTGTCTTCGACACCTCCGCGCGAATACTATCTTTTTAGAGAAAATTCTTAAAAAACAAATGCAAGACAACCAGTCGTTGCGATTTTGGACTATCGCAATGCGATAGTCGACTATCGCAATGCGAATATGTAAATCGCAATGCGATAGTCCAAGTTCGCATTGCGATAGTCGACTATCGCATTGCGATTTACACATTCGTATTGCGATAGCCGACTATCGCATTGCGATAGTCCAAGTTCGCATTGCGATAGTCCAAGTTCACATTGCGATAGTCGACTATCGCATTGCGATTTACATATTCGCATTGCGATAGCCGACTATCGCATTGCGATTTACATATTCGCATTGTGATAGTCCAAGTTCGCATTGCGATAGTCCAAGTTCGCATTGCGAATCTGGAAACTGATTTGCGATACCGGAGATCGCGTTGCGAATTTTCGATCGCATTTCGGTTTAGTTGGTCATTTTGGCAAATCCAAAATAAGTTGGTTAAAATCGTATATTATAAGGCATTTTTGGTCAATGAGGTTATTTTCTTTAATAAATAAGTGTTATATTTATTAGTCGTGACTATGTTAAATACAACTATGAGAAAAAAAAATAACAAAAACAACATACAAACGATAAAAAACGTATCAAAAGATAGAAGAAACCATGCCATATAAATAAAATTATTAAAAATTGAAAAGAAAAAAAATTAAAGATACGATATAATAAAATAAAAATAATAAATACTGACAATGGACGACCAATACTAAAATTAATATCATCGCATAAAGAGGTTTTTTTAAAAAAAAAAACTAGAAACAACACAAAGAAAGAAAGGAAGCTAGGATATAATGTAATCTTATTGTTTTATATTATATGAAAATTTTAGGTATATATATTATACAATCATTTGATTGTAATTTTAGATAATTATTCTCTCATATTTTTTAAGTCATAAATTTTAGATTTATTAAAAACACTTTCATTCTTTTCCTTTTAATCCTCTTTTTCTATCATTTAGATAAAATTAATATTAGATTTAAAATT